AGGGGGGGGGGGATTGTCGATGAATAATCTGTCTTGCTCAAGGACATGCACCCAGTGACAAACGCGTCTGTGGAGAAGCGGTTAGGTGCTTTGTCACTCACTGCGTGCAAAAAAGGGCAGTTCTATTCTTAGGGGGAACGGGCTTGTTTTCGTTGGTGGGTTTTTTTTTGGGAGGGTTTTAAAATTTTAAAAAAAATGAGTACCTCTCTGCCTGTGTGCCGGGACGGTGTATTCCTCTCAACCCAGGTTGGCCTTAAGGCCCCCTCATCATCATCATCCAGTACCAGATCTGCGACAAACATCGGCGATCATGGTTTTCCATTCATTACTTTGCTCGGATGCTCTCAAAAAAGCTACGTTTCCCTGATCTTTCCCTGTTACCCATTTGTTTAGGTTCCCAAAGCATGTTGTTCTGGGCCTACCCCTGCCTCGCTTGTCCTCAATTTTGCCAGTGAGAGCTAGATGTTCAAGACCCTTATGTCTATTCAGGTGTCCCCAAAACTGCATTTGTCTTTTCCTTATTGTTTTCAAGATTGAGCGTCCCATCAAGCACTACCTCATTTGATTTCTTTTCCTTCCACGATACTCTTAGTAGTCTCCTAAGAAACCACATAAGGCCCCCTACACATATATTAATACGTCCCAAACTGATAGTTCGGAACGGAACGGCAAACCTGGCGGCAGAACCGCAGATATGGATGAAAAACTGGCTAGAAAAAAAAAGATAACCCAGGAAGCAGAACCGACGGTTTCAACATGTTCGGATTTTCTTACCACAGTTCAGCACGTTCGTCCATGACGACAGCCTTTGTGTGACGTCACAGGCTAAGCCAGCTTATCTTGTGACGGCCAGTTTCTTCAAAATGATTTACCGCACATGAAATCTGATTACATTTTTTTTCAACGAGCGACCCAATTTTAAGGCAAGTTCAAAGCAGAATTTGTGTATTTTCAGTAATTAAAGAGAAAACAAAATTCCACATACATTATATCATGCATTCACTGAAGGCGAAGGGGGTCAGTACAGTGCTGGCCTCAGTGTCACGATGTGCAGTAGATCGGTGGCCTAGTGGAGGCTCTCGGACTCGCAACCGTAAGGTCGTGGGTTCGAATGCCGTCAGGGGCCCGACGTTGCGTCCTTTGAGAAAGACACTTTACACGAATTTTCCTGTATGCTTCCCGAGAAGCTGAGAATGTTTCGGAGTGTTCTATGGTCTTTTTTTTTGTTTTGTTT